CACAATAGCCAAAACATGGAAACAACCTAAATGTCCATCAACACATGAATGAATAAAGAAGATGTGGTACATAATATACAATGGAATACTAATCAGCCTTAAAAGAACAAAATAATGCTATTTGCAGCAACATGGACACAACTAGAGATTATCATACCAAATGAAGTCAGAAAGAGAAAGACAAATAGCATATGATATCACTCATATGTGGAATCTAAAATATGACACAAACTTATCTATAGAACAGAAACAGACTCACAGACATAGAGATCAGACTTGTGGTTGCCAACAGGGGGGAGGGAGAGTGATGGACGGCGAATTTGGGTTGGTAAATGCAAAATATTACGTGTAGAACAGATAAACAACAAGGTCCTACTGTATAGCACAGGGAACTATATCCAATCTCCTGCAATAAACCGTAATAGAAAAGAAAATTATAAAAAGAATGTCTCTATGTGTATAACTGAGGCACTTTGCTGTACAGCAGCAATTGGCACAGCATTGTAAATCAACTATACTTCAACTTAAAAAAAAGCATAAAACACAATAAAGAAAATGAACATACAGTTATATGCACAATATAACTTGTTTACAGAGAGGAAGATTCAACATTATAAACATGCTAGTTCTTCCCAAACTGACTGATATATAAAAGCACTGTAATGACAATAAAAATCATGTTGGGATTTTGGGTAATCTGCCAGAAACATTCTTAAGCTCATCTGGAAGAAGAAAAATACTAGAAAATGCCAGGAAAATTGTAAAAAGAAGGAGCAATGAGGAGAAAGAGGCCTACCAGACATTAAATTTAAGTAAATTTAGTACACAATAAGAGTGGCATCTCACATGAGTTCGGAGTATTAAAATATTTAGACAAACTAGCTCACCATCTGCAGAAAGATAAAGCTCAGTTAATTACAAATAACCCTCAGTCCTTTCACCAAAAGAACTTCTAGGTGGAATAAAGATTTAAATATGAAAAATTAAATAATGAAAGTGCTAGAAGAACACCTGGGAGAATATATTTATAATGTTGGATTGGTGAAGTCTTTTAAACATAGCAAATGAAGGAGAAGTAGGAGGGAAAAAGAAGAGAGGAGAAGAAAAGAAATAAGAAGCCAAAAGAAAAAGTTGAAACTTATCTACATAAAAATTTGAAACTTTATATGGTCCAAATATATACACATATAGATATAGTCAAAAGCTACAAAACACTAGAGAAAATAACTGCAACACACGACACATTAACACCTACTATCTATCACAGATAAAGGTGCTATTATATATCATTAAAACAGTGGAGGGACACCACAGAAAAATGGTCAAATGAGAGGAATAGACAGGGTGACAGAAGAGTCAGTAAACATTTAAAAGATGCTAACCACACAATTCAAGAAAGTCAAATTAAAACAATAGATATCACTTTTTAACCTTTAAGGTTAGACAAGACAAAAAAAAAAAAGACAGAACTCACATTGGCAAGGTCCACTCATACACTGCTGACAGAGGTACAAGCTGATATGGAAAGTTATTTATTCAATTTTAAATTTGCATTCACATTGACACAGCAATTTCAGTTCCAGATGTCTGTCTTACAGAAATACTTTCATGAGTGCCCAAAGCTGTTATTTGAGAATATCTCAGCAACATTGTTCATGAAACAGTGGAAACTACCAAAATGCTCAATAGGGGAATGGTTAAATATAGTGCCTGCATGCTATACACTATAAACTCGTTAAAAATAACAAGCTAGGCTATTTATCCTAACATGGTAAGATGACAATAAATTAAGCCAAAAGGGTAAATTGCAAACAGCATGTATAATAATGATCTTATTTCTGCACCAAAAAAGATCACATTCTAAATTACTGCTAATCTTTTCGTATTTTACGTAAATAATGCTTCTTAAAAGTGTTAACTTCTATTACTGAAAAACCAGGATATTTAGCAGCACATATTTTCAGCACCACTGACATAAGCTTCTATGAAGGAAAAACCGTCAAACAGAACATACGTAATGATGTTTTGTTTTGTTTTGTTTTGTTTTTGCATTACATGGGCCTCTCACCGCTGTGGCCTCTCCCATTGTGGAGCACAGGCTCCGGACGCGCAGGCTCAGCGGCCATGGGTCACGGGACCAGCCGCTCCGCGGCAAGTGGGATCCTCCCCAACCGGGGCACGAACCCGTGTCCCCTGCATCGGTAGGCGGACTCTCAACCACTGCGCCACCAAGGAAGCCCCCTAATGATGTTTTTTAAGGCAACTAAAAATCACCTAACTTGCTTCTGGAGTGATGAGTTACTAGTTCAAAGCTTGAATTGGGAGGAGGGAATTTTATACATTTTTAAGTTTTTTAAATAAGTACTGCATTCAAATGGATTAAATATTCCAAAATTACAAACAGGTATATCGTGAAATTTCTTCCTCCCATCTGCCTCCCCCCAGCAGCTAGCTCTCTCCACAGGCAACCATATTACTACTACTTTCTGAAATATTCTACACACATACAAGCAAATGAGTACATAGTTTTCTTTTTTAACCAAATTTTATGCCCTTTATTTTATTCTTAATAAAGAATTAACTTGTAATAATCTATACTCGAAAATAATCTGAAATATATATATATAACTGGAAAAAAGGAATTAAGCTTAAAGAGCTTGCAGATTTTAAAAGTATTTTCAATATCATATTTCATAGTCTTAATGTTTCAGCCTCAAGACGGTATCTTCATGTTTGTATCACACTTTCACCTTTCTAAAACGTGTGGGAATTTCAGTTGGGTTTCTCAGGCAAAAAGAAACACTAAACATGGTAATACTTGAGAAACACTAGCCATGGTAATATTTATTGTGGAAACTCTCCATTGAAGTGATTTGATATACACCATACTGATGCTTATTTCATATGCTTACCAATGTTAGACTCACAAACGCACAGTTCACGTTACACTAAAGTAGGGACTTGAGGACTTCAAAGCCTACATAACACATGGATGATATTTATTAGCTGTTTGTTTATTGTTCTCTTTTAATTGTTCATGTTTTCACAACTGTTGGTCTCTCCGCCTGGGATACTCATCTGGATGGTGCAAGGTTCCCCCTACTTGGCACCCCAATACTTTTTTGTCAACATTTATCCTTGACAGCAAGGAAAACGACTTTCGTGATTTTTATATTATCAAGCCCTAGCTCGCTGCCTGGCAGCACTGGAGTTTTAGTGACTGAAGATTAAGAAAACAAAACAAAACCCTTTATACCTGAGGTGATAATTGAGAAGGTAACATCTAAGATTAGAAACATTAGGTGTGGACTTCCCTAGTGGCACAGTGGTTAAGAATTCACCTGCCAACTCAGGAGACCCAGTTTCGAGCCCCGAGTCCAGGAAGACCCCACATGCCACGGATCAACTAAGCCGGTGCACCACAACTACTGAGCCTGCGCCCTAGAGCCCACGAGCCACAACTACTGAAGCCTGCATGCCTAGAGCCCAGGCTCCGCAACAAACCACCGCAGTGAGCAGCCCCTGCTCACCACAAGTAAAGAAAGCCTGCGTGCAGCAATGAAGACCCGACGCAGCAAAAATACATAAATAAAATTAAATTTAAAAAAAAGTTAGGTGTTTCTCAGCCGTACCACAAGCACAAACAGGTGAAAAACTGCATTTGGGAAAATGCACAAAGCTACAATTTAAAGAGATAAGGCTGAACTGATAAGTATGGGATGCCTCCAGGGTAAAGTTCAAAATTCTTATTTTAGTAACATACACCAACAGGTGTTTGCCAACTAGCTCTGAAGCCTCACCTTCCGTCACTCCAGCTTTCAGCTCTGGCTATATTCAAGTACCTGCAATTTCCTAAAAACATCATATTCTTTCACACCTTAATCATAGCCTTCCCTTGCACTTTGTCCTTGCTGGGAATGCTCTTCTTTCTTCACAACTCAGCTCAACTGCCACTTTCCCAGAGAAGCTTTCCCTGTTTCATCAGATTAACAGGGATCCCCTACAGTTCTTTGGCTTGCCTGTCTCCCTACTAAAGTCTGAGTGAACCAGGCTTTTTCAGCTTTGCATGTCCATCTTCCCTGGTGCTAGGTCCTCCTGTGTTTGTTTTGTTATTGAATAAGGAAGACAGACCCCATCTTCCATTATGTCCTGAACTCAACATTTGAAAGCCTGAAGGACTCATTCTGCAGACTCTAGATCCAGATTCACAGACTAGTAGGACTTAAACGTTAGGTCAAATAATTAAAACTATTTGCCAGTTAGCCACTCTTGGTGTTACTGTGTCCCCCGCTAGCCAAACCCGGTGAACGCCTGGCCAGAGAGACTACTGGCCCACGGTTTGCACCACGGTAATGCAAACGTTTTCCCATTGAGCACCGCCTGAGCCCGACGTATGGCAATGCCCAAAGCAAATAACGTGTGTATACGGGTGTGGACTTGCACTAAGAGCTCTTCCAACTTCGCAGTTTGGTGAATTGCGAGGCCTTGGACTGCATGGGTGATTGCTCTGGGGCCCAGGCCCGTCTTGCTCAGCATTTCGCGCTCGGCGGCTTCCCAGAATCTCAAGGCTAAAAAACTAAGCCGGGTAGAGACGCCAAAAGAGGTGAAAGAGGCGCCGACGGGGAAAAGGTGCGGCAAAAGGCTTTGTTCTGAGAGGTTCCTCCTGTTCAGCGCACAGGCCCTGCCCGGGCCCAGTTCCCGAGTCTTCCGCGCTCCCGCAAGCGGCGGCGGCCCCACAGATTTGGGAATCCCTTGCCGACCCAAAATCGCAGCGCTCTTAGGTAACCCCAGTTCCCGCTCGAGACTTCTGCACTCTCGCACTCCCTTGGTGGAGGAAAGGGCTCCAGAAAGTTCCGCAAACGCCAGACCCAGGATTGCGCACAGCCCCTCCCAGGCCGAGCGCCCCCGCGCCGTTACCCAGGCAACCGCGGGCGGTGGCGGCGGCGGGAAGGGCGGGACTTCCGGCGGGTGACGCGCCTGCGCTCGGCTACAAAAGACAACGGCTGCGGCGCTTCAGGCGGAACTTTCCAGAACGCTCGGTGAAAAGGCAGAGGAGCGGCGGCTGCCCGAGCTGCGCACGGCAACGCGCTCCTTCCCGCTCCCCCACACCGGCATCGGCCCTCTCACCGGTGAGCTTCAGCCTTCGGGCTTCACCTCATCCCAAGGCCGGCACTGTTGGCTGCGCCGGGAAGCCGGATGGAGCCGCGGTCGTGAGGCGGTTGGCTCCGCGTGGGCGGGAGGGTTGTCGATTCCTGTACCCACGATTCTCCTTCTGGAGGGCTGGTGGGGATACCCCGGCAACTCTCGCCGGCGCGCAGCGAGTGGGCCCGAGACCCTTCCTGGAGCTTTCTCCATGCCCTATCTATCTAGCCAGGGTTCTCCGAGGACCTGCCGCCTCGGTCTTTCCCTCCGCCCGCCGCGGGCTGGGGGGTGGGGGTGGGGGGGCGACCCTTTGCGCACGCGCAGAAGGAGCTAGTGGGGCGAGGGGCTGCGGGAGGAGCCGGGCGGAGGCTGCGGCGTTCGCTTCTCGGGTCTCTCCTCCTTCGCTTTGTTGGGTGCTGGGCTTCTCCCACCCCTTTCATCCTGGGTGGGAGGGGAAAGGAAGGAACCCCTAACGGTCGGCATTGAGTGCAGGGCAAAACCTAGCAGCGTGTAAACTACGCTGGCTTGTGGGGGCGAAAGAGGTTCGGCGGTCGAAGCAGAGGAGCTGTACGTCCTGTGACTGAGAAACAGCCTCAGGATGGAGGGGGAGGGGAGCTTGCTTTCTGGAGCTGGTGTTCTTAGTTTCATAAAACACTGCCTCCCCGCCTTGTGCCCAGATGTCTTTTCTAGGAAGTGTATGATTTATCAGATTTACTAAGAATAATGGTAGTGGATTGAACCTCTTAGTGCTCCTCTTCTTTACTGCCCTCTGTCGCTGGTTGGGAAGGGAAACAGGAAAAATCCAGACAATAGTCGCGTTATTATGGGAGCTTTCAGGTGGGAGAGTGGGAACCAGCTGCTATAGGAGGCTTTTGAATTATCCCCTGATAATTATTAACTTATATTTAGTTTTAGAATTGATGGCTAAATTACCAAAGGAATTGTTACCTTCTCTGTGAAATTTAGGGAAGGTGGTGTTCTTACAATCAGGTTTCTCAGAGAACAGATTTCTATGCCTAAATTTTATTAATTAAAACTACCAGTTGAGAGTCGGCTAAAATTGAACTTTCTTATTTTAGACTGTAGGAAATGGTGAAAGAAACCACTTATTATGATGTTTTGGGGGTCAAACCCAATGCCACCCAAGAAGAATTGAAAAAGGCTTACAGGAAACTGGCCTTGAAGTACCACCCTGATAAGAATCCAAATGAAGGAGAGAAGGCAAGTAGTACACTCATAACATAGCTGAATAGTTCTTGCCAGGTGTACGGTATTTCCATTACAACATGAAATTGAATATGTCTAATGTAGTGGCTGTGCTTTGTAACAGTTGAGTTTTTTGAGTGAAATTTATCCCCCCTTTTCTGAAACAGTTTAAACAGATTTCTCAAGCTTATGAAGTGCTCTCTGATGCAAAGAAAAGGGAATTATATGACAAAGGAGGAGAGCAGGCAATTAAAGAAGGTGGAGCAGGTGGCGGTTTTGGCTCCCCCATGGACATCTTCGATATGTTTTTTGGAGGAGGAGGCAGGATGCAGAGAGAAAGGAGAGGTAAGAATGACAGTTCACATGTGGCAAATTAAAATTAGCTGTTGGTCAAAGTAAATTCTTGAGAATTCACCTACTAAATGCTTGTTTACTTGTTAGCATAATGTTGTAAACTGATTTATGGTAAGAGTTTAAGAATGAGATTTGATGAGACTAAAAATAGCTAAGCCAATCGAGTGCTAACAAGTGAGTGCTTCTAAAGCTCTTGGGGTACATAGGATTTCTGTGATGTTATCAAGCATTAAAGGAATGAAGTATAGGAGCATAATTTTCAAAACCCTTTTCACAGATTTTATTTTATTCTCAATCTGCACACCCCCACCCCTCAGCCTCAATGGGAGGTACAGTGGCCTTACACAGGCGAAAGTGAATTACAGTTCAGAATGGTAAATTTTTGTCAAGGTCATATATTGCTATGCATCAGAGTCTTGATTGGAACACAGGTTCATTGCCTCCAAATAGCATGCTATCTGTTTAATCTTGTTTCAGTTTTATTATATCAAAATATGTGCCCTTAACATTTAATAGAAATGTGGTTTTCTGGGCTGTGGAAATACTGCTCGTAGAAGTACAGTGTTCTGATCAGAGTTTATCTTACTTTGTTCCCAGTGTAGTTCATATAAACAAGGACTAATGGGTAGAGCCCATTCTAGAAGGAATGAGCAAACCACTGAATTTTCTCTGAGCTTTTTTGGATTCAGAAGGACTGTAAATTGTTTATTCAGATTTTCTTAAAAGGAGAGGGGGGTGTATTTTATTTATTTTTAAGAAATTTACCTTAAAACAATTTTCAGTCAAGGTCAGTTGATTGGCAAACTCTACTGTGTGGCTTAGATCAATGCAAGGTCATTTTTTTAGTGTGATATTGGAAAATATTTGCTTAAATTTTAGAAGCTTTATTTCTTCCCTATACTGTAAACTCTATAAGGCTAAAGTAAGAAGGGCAGTTTTCAGCGTTCCAGAACCAATTACATGGAACAGTATTAGTGATGCAGAACAGAAAAGTGGATCTAGGAACAGGTTATAGTTGAGGGCACTTCACGCTTGATTGGTAACTAAAAATGTTCATTAGACATGTTCTGCAGATAGGAAGTTCAAGAGCTTCTTTCACTTAAGCGTAAGGCAGTATTTCATGGTAGATAAAGTCCTGGGAGAATCACTAGCTAGGAACTTATTACCTATTGGCAGGTGACTACATTTCTGTAACCTCTGTTCTTAGATGATCTCCACCTTCCACTTCCCATTCCTAGCTAGATGAGATAGGTCACTCTTTTGTAGCCACTGGCCACATCAAATTTAGATTACTGCAAAGAAAAATAAAAATTTAGTTACTTAGTCTGCAGTAGCCATAATTATATGCTCGATAGCCATGTGTGACTGCTGGCTGTTGTGTTGGCTAGCACAAGATACAAAACATCTCCATCACTGCAGAAAGTTCTGTTGGACAGCACTATGGTAAAGGATGAGAAATCTAGCCTTTTTTGGGGGGGAGGCTGCGTTGGATCTTTGTTGCTGTGCGTGCAGGCTTTCTCTAGTTGCAGTGAGCGAGGGCTACTCATCGTTGTGGTGTGCGGCCTTCTCATTGTGGTGGCTTCTCTTCTTGTGGTGTGTGGGCTCAGTAGTTGTGGCGCACGGGCTCTAGAGCGCAGGCTCAGTAGTTGTGGCCCATGGGCTTAGTCATTCCACGGCATGTGGGATCTTCCTGGACCAGGGCTCGAACCTGTGTTCCCTGCATTGGTGGACGGATTCTTAACCACTGTGTCACCAGGGAAGCCCGAGAAATCTAGCCTTTAAACAGTTAGTGCTAAATAAATATGTCAGGTTCCCTGGGCAAACTTGATTAGTTTTTGGAATTTAATGTGCTGAAGAATTTTTGGATGATGTAATTGGTCATGTTACTCAATATAATAAGTGAACGATTCAAAGAATATATTAGGACAGAAAAGCAGTTTGGGTTAATTTACTGTGAAATGTGTCTATTTAAATAACATGAGATTTCTCAAGTGATTTTTGCAGTTAACATTTTTGATTGCCGTAAAATGTAGGATGACCGTAACTACGTCCTTATACAAATTGCTTAAATCTCACTGGATGTTTCTTATTTGAAATTACACCACAGTTTTAGAGGATTATGTGTGTACCCTTGTAGGGCTCATCTTTCATTATCCTTTACCGTTTTTATAGTGTAGAACACAAGATTCAGCATCTTAGATTTTTAATGTGCAATGTTTTGTTCTAGGTAAAAATGTCGTGCATCAACTCACAGTAACCTTAGAAGATTTATATAATGGTGCAACAAGAAAACTAGCTCTGCAAAAGAATGTGATTTGTGACAAATGTGAAGGTATGTCTTAACATTCATAATATAATTGAAAATGGAACTGAAGCCGTCCTGGATATATAAAACTGACATATTGCACTACCTAATTCTGAAGAGTGCAAGTACAAAAACCACCTGAATCCACCTCCTAGAGAAATATTAGCAAATTATCAGCACTTTTATGTATTTATTTTGAATGCAGGTGGGACTGATCTAATTTGGTGTCTGTTTTTCTCAATACTGTTCAGAGATGAGTCTTTTCTATCCGCTCTAGAACTTCAGAGGCATTCCAGTGGCTTCATAATCTGTAATATGATTTGACAGTATCCTCTTTTGGGGTACCAGCAGCTGTCAAATTATTGGCTATGAACCTCTAAGGTGTTTTTCTAATAAATACAAGTTATTTGTTGGAAATATGGTATTTTCTAAAGAGAATAAACTCTAAAATGTTCTCATCTCACAGTTAAAGTAGCCTTTTAAGAATTGTGCTTTGGGGGCTTCCCTGGTGGCACAGTGGTTAAGAATCCACCTGCCAATGCAGGGGACACGGGTTCGAGCCCTGGTCCGGGAAGGTCCCACATGCCACGGAGCAACTAAGCCCATGTGCCACAACTACTGAGCCCACGAGCCGCAACTACTGAAGCCCGCGCGCCTAGAGCCTGTGCTCTGCAACAGGAGAAGCTACTGCAATGAGGAGCCCGCGCACCGCAACAAAGACCCAACTCAGCCATGAATGAATGAATGAGTGAATGAATGAATTGTGCTTTGGGAGCACATGTTTAAAATCCAGAATTCTGAAATGACTCCTTGGGAAAATAGCAGTCAATATGTTTATAGATAAGCTGATTGTGGCGATATTTTATCAAATAAAAAGGCTGAATTATAGATTCTTATAGCGGCATGCCATCAGACCTTGAAAATATTAATGAAGTGGAGTGTTTAGGAACTGTCTCATTAAAACATTCATCACCATGTCCAGTACTAAATTCAAACATAATTTCTTTTTGAACTATTTAGGCCGAGGTGGTAAGAAAGGAGCAGTAGAGTGCTGTCCCAATTGCCGAGGTACTGGAATGCAAATAAGAATTCATCAGATAGGACCTGGAATGGTTCAGCAAATTCAGTCTGTCTGCATGGAGTGCCAGGGCCATGGGGAGCGGATCAGTCCTAAAGATAGATGTAAAAGCTGCAATGGAAGGAAGATAGTTCGAGAGAAGAAAATTCTAGAAGTTCATATTGACAAAGGTGAGTTCTGAGCCACTTTCTATTTTCAATTCTTGAGTGCTATTGCAAATTATATTAATGTTACATTTTATAGTTGTTTAAAACTACTGTTGGAGTAAGGAATAGGTATATTTTGATTAATTAACTTATTTGTAAGAACTTAGACTACGAATGTTACTTTCTAATAGTTTTTATAGATTATGTAAACATACGTCAGTTTCTGCCTCTTGGGTTATAACTTAAAATTTCCTTTAAATATTATTAGGATTTACTTTATTTTGCCAGTTCCTTAATTTTTTCAGTTTATTTAAAAATGCTTTAAAATGTATTACAGCAGTACAAACTCACTGTAGAAATTTTAGAAATGTGTATAGCCCCAGAATAAATGGTGCTGCTTACTCTGAAATAATCAGCATGGTTGGCTCTTTCAGACTTTGCTATTTTAAAATGAAACTGTTATTAGAAAATATACATCTACATTAACTTAAGCTCCTGAAATAGTATTCACCCATGTGAATCATGGTGCCTCCCCTCCCTCCATTTTTTCCCCTTAATTGGTCCCTGTTGAGTAGGGTTTGAATTTCTCTCTCGTAAGATTCCCCCCTTGTTACCAACAGTATGTACTCAGGAGGGCATTAGTAGTAAGTGAAGCCACTTATGAATGCTGCACTTGCCCGTTTTTTTGGCCACACTGCAGCCTATGGGATCTTAGTTCCCCAACCAGGGATTGAACCCGTGCCCCATGCAGTGGAAGCGTGGGGTTTTAACCACTGGACCTCCAGGGAAGTCCCTGCCCATACTCTTAACATTAATGGAACAACCAGCAAAACTTAGCTGAGTTTAATTGCTTCACTAGTGTAGTGAGATAGTTACTTTGCCTTGTGAATGATTAAAGACAGATTGTTGGGCTTCCCTGGTGGCTCAGTGATTAAAAATCAGCCTGCCAATGCAGGGGGCACAGGTTTGAGCCCTGGTCCCGGAAGATCCCACATGCCACGGAGCAGCTAAGCTCGTGCGCCACGACTACTGAGACTGTGCTCTACAGCCTTCAAGGCACAACTACTGAAGCCCAATTGCCTTGAACCCGTGCTCCACAACAAGAGAAGCCACGCAATGAGAGGCCCGTGCGCCACAACTAGAGAAAGCCCGCGCACAGCAACAAAGACCCAATGCGGCCAAAAATAAAATAAATAAATTTTTTAAAAATGTTTACTTTTGTCAATGTGTAATACTGATATTTTGGTTTAAGTCCTTCTCTTTTTAGAGGTATATATTGAAGTGTTTGGGTTAATTGGTATGTCTGGATTTTAATTGAAATATATGCAGGGAATGTGGATGGAGGTGTGTAATACATGAAATAGTAGTCATGACCTGGTAATTACTGGATCTATATTGATGGATATATAGGGACTTCTTGTACTGTTGGCTACTTTATGTAAGTTTAATACTTTCCGTAATAGAAAGTGTAACAAAGTTGCTCTTGTTGGGTGACCTCAGTGATCATTGGTTCACGAAATCTGGCACTACTGCTGTAGAGAAATCATCTGCAAACACATGAGTTCTGTTTAAAGAGGTGTTAGTTGGCTTAAGTAAGCCTTTACTGAACTAAGGTGTATGGGCCAGAGGGAAGAAATCTCAGTAAAAGTGTTGGCCTAAGAAGCGTTTGCCTGTTGGATGGACTTCCCTGGTGGCGCAGTGGTTAAGAATCTGCCTGCCAATGCAGGGGACACGGGTTTAAGCCCTGGTCCAGGAAGATACCACCTGCTGCGGAGTAACTAGGCCCATACACCACAACTGCTGAGCCACAACTACTGAGCCTGCATGCTGCAACTACTGAAGCCTGTGCCCCTAGAGCCCGTGCTTCGCAACAAGAGAAGCCTGCGCACCGCAACAAAGAGTGGCCCCTGCTTGCCACAACTAGAGAAAGCCTGCACAGCAACAAAGGCCCAAAGCAGCCAAAAATAATAAATTTTTAAAAGCATTTGCCTACTGGAAAAACTTCTTTATTTTTGACACTGATAACCACATGGTCTGAAAGTACTCAACTATAATTATCCTCTTTAAAAAAAAAAAAAAAGACTAAAATCATTCAATATAAATATTACATATTTTTTAAATTTTTAGATTTTATATTACTGCTAATACAATAGAAGGAAGAAAATCTGACTTATGCTTCTGTTAGACTTAATAGAAATGATTTGACTTAAGTTTTTTTAAAGTGATGAAATAGTTAAAAACATTTATGGTTATAATGTTTGCCAGTCACTGATTTGGTGCCAGCATAGACCTTTTTCTTTAGTCTCCCACAAGAGCCCTGGTGGAGGACATAGGTCTCTGTGGGAAAGTTGATGCTTAGGAAGGTTATGCAATGCTTCCCTAGGGTAATCTGGCCTAGTAGTAAATAGCAGCTCTGAGATTCGAAGCCTGACTTGTTTGCCTCTAGAATCTGTGTTCTCCACTATGATAGCTTTCTTCAGTAAGAAATTGGACTGATCTAATAAGCATGTGGGCGTTTTTGGTAAATTCTGTAAAACTTTAGCATCCGCAAAGACTTGAACATTTTTTTCATGCACAAACATGCATTTGTGTTTCAGTAGAGATTCTGACCTTACTTAGATGTTAAGAGTATAAAATTAGCCTTTTGTTTTTAGGCATGAAAGATGGCCAGAAGATAACATTCCATGGTGAAGGAGACCAAGAACCAGGACTGGAGCCAGGAGATATTATCATCGTTTTAGATCAGAAGGACCATGCTGTTTTTACTCGGTAAAAATTTTTATCAAATACTCAAACCGACATCTTGCATATTTGGGTTTGTTTTTTTTTCCTCAAATATAAGTGAGCTTTTTCATTACTTGTAGAATACATTTCCTAGAAATAACCTAGAAAAGTATAGCAGAAAAGTTAGACTATATATGTCTTTTATAAATGATTGTTAATCATTGTTTCAATTTTAGAAGAAGCTAAAGACAAAAATCATTGGTTTTTTTGGTGTAAATGTAGGTAAACTGTTGCCTAATTTGCATTTTGAAGGATATACTTCAGTTAGGAGATGTGTTGTATAAGTATAAATAGATAGAGTAGGGGAAACATCCCTAGACAAAACTTTGCCCCCAGTTTTTTTTTTTATAAGCAGTTGGTTTTGAAATAAGTACCCTAAAGCTTTCACCAGTTTCTTCAATCCTGAGTTCGTGGTAAGTTGGGTTGCTTTTAATTTTAAATAAAAGTCTAGAATCATCTGTGTAAGAAGCTGTAATATATTAATTCACGTCTATTAGGAAATAATCTTGTGTTTATGATAAATTTATAGTGACGCACAAGAAAGTTAACAGTGTTAAATAATGTATCAATGGGTAATTTTAAAACATTAGACTGGAGTAGGGTTCCAGTAAGTCTGTTGGGAATGACATCTCAAGGAACAGGTTTTAGATTAATAGTGTCTCAAGAATAATGGGAAATGCTATCGAGCTCAGAATTTTGATGCTATCATTTGAGGTGAATCCTCAACAAGAGTATTTCTGGAGAGTATTCTGCCTGATGAAAAGATGTCATTAATATGAATTGGAAAAGAAAGTAAGCATGAGGAGAAAGAAGTGGGTTGTTATTAAACATAAAAATAGTGTTCATACTGTGCCAGGCACTATATTAGTTAATTCATGTACGTCAATAAATTACTTCCCCTTGAAATTGGCCATATGCCTTTTATTTAATTTCATAGACCCTAACTTATCCAGGACCCAGCCTGAGGTTTGTTCCACTGCCTAGAGTGTGTGGAGGGATTCTGAAGCCTTGTCCAGGAAACTGTGCTGGCAGTTTCCATATGTTTGCTGTACCCAGTTCTCAGCTCTTAAGAATGGGGAAGAGGCCTTCCTCACCTTCTGAGATGGCCCACACTCTCGAGTGTGTTTCTCTCTAAATAAATCCACTTCGTACCTATCAAAGGAAACAAACAAAAAAGAATGGGGAAGAAAGGGCATCTTTTGAAAGATACCATTTGTTTTTAAGAGAACAGAATTGCCTACTTTGGTAGTTGTAATCATTGCTGGTTTGAAGATCTAAGTATATGCCGTACTTACATTGTACAGACGAGGAGAAGACCTTTTCATGTGTATGGACATACAGCTGGTTGAGGCATTGTGTGGCTTCCAAAAGCCAATATCTACTCTTGACAACCGAACCATAGTCATCACTTCTCATCCAGGTACAGTAACTAGATAAGCGTCTGTTTCTATTCTAGTGTTTTCATTGTCTGCTCGTAGCTAGTATAGCCACGGAGGAAAGTGGCATTTAAGTTGCTCAGTACATGTCTGTCCTTGAGCTGAGCTGAAATCATGCGTTCTTGGCTCTCTTGTAAGCCCCTAGAAAACCTGTAAATGAAAGGTATCAGCATCATTTCATATAAATTTACCTCTATCAATGAGCTAGGACATTGCTCTGTTCTTTATTTTCGCTGCCTCGTAAAAGTGTGACTGTATTTAAGGAATTTGGCTTCAATGTTTTTAGGTCAGATTGTCAAGCATGGAGATATCAAGTGTGTGCTAAATGAAGGCATGCCAATTTATCGTAGACCATATGAAAAGGGTCGCCTAATCATTGAATTTAAGGTAAGCTATACAGTACTGTAGAAATGTTTGAGAATGATTATTTTATTAAAATCCAGTAGCATTTAAGTTTCTGAATGGCCAGAAACCAAGTTTCTATTCTCCCTTGTCTAGATCTAATGTTACTCTTGTTATGTTGAACATTTTTTGTTAACAAGTTGGTACTGGTTTGTTTGCATCATTATCGGCTATTTAAAGATGGGGGGTGGTGGCAGGTGGGTAATTTACTAATGAAAGGCTATAACTGGAATCTTAAAGTTCAACAGAAGCATGTTAGCTGGTGTGGATTTTTGGCAAAATACTGCAGTGCTCTGGTTCTTAAAGTAACCCAACCATTTCCCTCAATCTTAAATTTGAGTGGCCTCAGACCCACAAATTTAACATTTATTAAAAACATCTTTGGGTGGGACTGTCTTTGAGTAACAATATCTTTGTTTAAATTATCCATTAGAAGGAATGAGAATGTGTTTTAGGATGGGTTCTCCTATTAAAATGTATTTGCTGAATAGAAGTGATCATTACAGTGTAGTTTTATTAGGATCTTTTTTTTAAGACCTTACCTTGAACTCTAGTTCAGAATAGTAGATGATATATGCCTTCTTAGAACATGTGTTCTAACCTGGGAGTGGCAGATTTACCAAAAGATTGTGTGGTTTCATGTTTTTTTCCTGGGGAAAATGGGTCAATGGTATTTGTCTAAGGAGCTAAGGATGAAGTGTCATTTAAACTTAAAGTAGAAATTTCTTATTATAGGTAAACTTTCCTGAGAATGGCTTTCTCTCCCCGGATAAACTCTCTTTGCTGGAAAAACTCCTACCTGAGAGGAAGGAAGTAGAAGAGACTGATGAAATGGACCAGGTAGAACTAGTGGACTTTGATCCAAATCAGGAAAGACGGCGCCATTACAATGGAGAAGCATATGAGGATGATGAACATCATCCTCGGGGTGGTGTTCAGTGTCAGACCTCCTAATGGGGCCAGTGAACAACACTCACTGCTGGCATTTTATTTGCAGTAGTGATTGAGTGAAGGACTATAATCATAACATGCTCACTACTTGCTATTGTTTGTTTTAATATTCAACTATAGTAGTGTTTTAAAAGTTAAATGAAGAATAAACTCGAATATAAAAGCTCTGACTTTGCCCTGTATGTATGATGACTTCAGTGTGCAAGATAAGTTTAATACTTGTAAAAACTACTTTTAAAAATTTCCCCTAGCAGTTGTTAGGCCGTACTTTGTAATTGATTTCAGCTATGTACATGGAATAGCTTAGACTGAAATGCCAGGTATATGTATTGGCTTCGGTGTATGACCCTTAATTGTTAAGCTATGAAGTTAAAATTGTATTTAACTGGCAGACGAAGAATTTGTAGAGAAGTGTTGGTCTGTATAGTGGTATTAAGTGGGATTCATTGTGATGCCTCTGCATTTATTCTGTTGCCTCAACTGTTACTTGAAGATGGCATGCTATATAATTTAGCCTGTGGTATCAGTGATAGAAATGACACCTTTCTAAAGAAGGGGTTTATCATATAACATGCTGCTTCTTGAGGGCTTGCGCTTGTAGGATTGCATTCCCTTCTGCTGTGCCATCTTTTTTTAATATATCTAGCTATTGGTCCTGGTTACTTTTTTTTTTTCTTCCTTCTCTTTGGACCACAGTAAGCCATAGTTTAGTCACTTCTGGAGCAGGGTAACTTAGAAGTTAGAGTGATGAGAAGTACTTTGCATGTATGAGTTAGGAAGGTGTTTCGCAGGTATGTTACAGGCTTACTTTAAACCATTTAACTTATGCTCCAAAATAACTGTAATTTAATGTTAGTAGAATAGCAAATTATGAATAGCTTTAATTGTATGTTTAAAGTCATATGTTCACAAGCTTAAATCTGGATATCAGAATTTAAGCAATTCTTGAAATGTATGAATGTCTCCTTAATATACTGATTCAAAAGCATGTCCAATGTGTCACCACAGGCTTTTTTTTCCCAGGTTGAAGTATTGGCTTTTCACTAATTAAGATACATAATTTTTCATTTAACTAAAGTGAGTAATACCAAAAAATACTATTTAACCATAGTTAAATGTTTAATATTAAACAAGGGTGGGGACTGAAAGTTGAGGGGTGAGTAATGAGCAAAAGAAGAGGGCTTTAAAATCTTTGCAAACGCTGAAGTGAGAATGTGAGAGCTTACTGTTTAATTCTGCTCAGATTCTGTATCTCATTGTAATCAGGAGGCTTAAAACATTTCTAACCTGGAAGTAACCCACAGCTTAAGTTCCCCTCAGAACACTTGAGTTAAAAAGAGACTGAAACTTGGTGTAAAGTGCATCATTTCCCAAACCTTCAGGTTTCTTGTCATAGTGACAGTTTTAATTGATAGCCTCTCCACATCATTCTTGGGTTCTTTTTAAATTTGTGGCCAGACAGCTACCGTCATATTTGGATAGTGAAGCAGGTGTCCAGGAAAGGAAAACAAATCAAAATACTAAACATAATGGTTCAACAAATTTTAGTTTTCACTGGATTTATATTGGGAGTCTAAATTCTACAATAAACTTATATTGTAAAACATTTAAGAATACTTTCAGACATTTAAAAAATTACAAAAATCCTTACATGAGGTTTTCAATATTATTAGTCATGAGGAAGATAAAATGAAAATCACAGTGAGATACAAAACTTCACACCTAGTAGTCCAAAATCTAATCCCAAATGGAAATGAGAATATGGAGAAACTAGAACCCTGTACCTTGTTGGTGAAAATGTAAAACGGTGCAGTTTCTGTAAGCAGCTCCTCAAAAAGCCAAACGTGGAATTCACCATATGACCCAGTAGTTCCATTCCTTGACTCAGGAACATTGTGTGCCAATGTTTATGGTATCATTATTCACAATACCAGAAGAGGAAACAAGCCATGTGTCTTAACAGGTGGATAAACAAAATGTGTTATATGTATGTATGACAGAAAAGGACTTCATTTATATGAAATATTGAGGCAAATTCATAGAGGCACAGATTACCAAGGGCTGGGAGGAAGAGGAACGGTAAGTTAGTGCGTGCTTAATTGTTTCTGTTTGGGGTGATGAAAGTTTTGAAAGTGATGGTTGTACAAGAGTTAATATAATTAATGCTACTGAATTGTATATTTAAATGGTTGAGAGTAAGCTTTACTTTTGTTTCACCACAGTAAAAAAAAAAAAAATCCTTAAGATAGAAGATGAACATAGTTACAACCTGGAGAGGCAGAAACTGACAAGTTTGTATTCTGTATTAAAAAAAAAAATTCTTGTTAGAACTATGGCCAAGGGCATCACAGAAATACAAGTGCATCCGTGGAAGTGTGTAGTTCCATCGCCCCAGCACTAATGCTTTCTTTGTGATGCCTCCCCTGTCTGTTCATACTTGGAGGGAATAAAAATAGAAGCTGATTATGTCCCATGAGGGTCCTAGTGGAAGACGGTGGCAGATCTTCCCTTGTGAAATTAGCATCACATTTTTTCTCCATATAGTACTGCCTCTCAACCTTGGCTACAATTGAAGTTACCTCGGAAGCTTTAAAACATGATTTGAGTCTCACCCTCTGGGTATTTTGGTGTAGTTGAACTGAGTGTAGCATAAGCAAAAGGATGGTTACATATAGCCAAGGCTCTACACCAGCACCATGGGGACAGTTATATTAATCACCAGAACAGTAACGCCATTGTTAGAATTGGTGTGGAGGGTCAAACAATGGCAGCCCTTAACTACGGCAAGTTTGTTTCAGACCAAGGCTGCTTCCCATCTTAGATAGACACTATGGTAATTTCCTCTCTTTTGAAGTACTATGGGAAAATGAAGCATAGGCTCTAAAAGCACAGTGAATGAAAAATGGTAGCAAGTTATAGCAGTAAAGATGCTCTTTCAAGGGTTTCTGAAGTCTTGTGCGCCTTTATCACTTAATTTGGTTATCGCAGCAACCTTCTGAGACCAACAGAACAAGAATTGAAACACCTACCTTACAGTTGATGAAAATGACCTCTAGTCTACTTACTGGTTCTCAAATCTGAGCATGCTTGCTGAGCCCCACTGGACTTGGATTCTGTAGGCCTAGGGTAGGACCTGAGAGATCTGCCATACAAACAAGTTACCAGGTGACTTGGCCCACGTAAAAGAAATGACAGCAAAGACTGGAATCCAGATTCTTGTAATTCGGTGCTCTTTCTACTCATGTCTGCCTTTGTGGGGTTTTGGTAAGTCTTAACAGAATGTGGAAAAACTTTCAAAGAGTCAAGAAATTGAGTTTTAGAATCCCACCTCAGTCAGTTGCGCTCCAGGAGCAAGGTATGGAATCTTGAAATCTATTTCATGTGATAGGACTCAGAATAGGCTAGAGCTCATAAAGCAGTTCTGAGAATTAAATAACACTGCTTACATAGTAAGGAAGGGCTCGATAAATGTTATTAATGGTAGTAATACAAGCTAAAAAATAACTAGTGGAGAACACACTGAGTTGTACCTGAGACTTGTACTTAAAAGAAAAAAATTTTTTTGGTGTGAAATACCAGGTCATTCAGTGTTTTCCAGAGCCATTCAGCAGCTCAGTGGGGGATGGGACAACTCACGGAGTTAACTTTAATGCCATGTATTTTGGGTTTTAAGTGCTAGAGGAGTATCAGTTAAATAGGTGGGCTGCAGCAACAGAGCAGCTGTCTTATGAACCAAGGGGGGCAAGGGCCCAGGATGCCTGTCGCGTTCCCCTGCTGCACAGCCACACCCAACCGGGCGCACCCCACCCCAGAGTTTGGGCAGCGCACCCTCCACCACCTCTCCTCCTGGAGTGGAAGTGTTGGGCAGTTGCCATGGTGTCCAGGAGCTAGACAACCCTTCTCCCACCTCCGCCTCTTACCCAGGGGCTCCCCCTGCCTTTTGTACTGGAGATGGCCATGGGGGCTAAAAGAAAAAAAACTAGGCGCGGAGTAAGGGAAGCTCATTTCCACTTTTAAACAACACAATTTTTAGGTTTGTGCAAAATGAAGTTGTGGACCGATAAACATGGGTGACCTGGGAAAAGCAGAAAATTCATTTTTTTCCCCCATTTTTTGTTTACTTGTTATACCAAGGCACTACTTCATTAAAAAAGAAAATATACTTCATGGCTCTCAGTCCAGTCCTCTCCTCTTTGCCTGGTCTCCCCAGATCCTACCATATGTCTAGCACATGCCTTGCAGCTATGGCACACTGTAGTGCTCCTAGGATCACCAAAGCCCTTTACCTTCTGCTCCTGTTGGTCCTTTTATGGTCAACTCCAGAAAGGCTTTCCTAACCCATTAGGTCTGGATCATCAAAAAAACAACTCCAGATTTTCTGTTATCGCACTATTTTAATCCTGTTAACTTGTTTTTCTCCCCTATCCTGTGACAGAAACTAGTGTTTTTAACCATCCTGAGCACTAGGTGCAGGAGCAGAGGAGTTGTTTGCTAAAAATTCCTAGAATAAGTAAGTGTACATGTGCTGAAAAGATTCTTGCTCTCCATGAGCCTTGGCACAAAGTGTGCATCTCACAACTGCCAGTTCACAAGGTCATGGGCTAAATCAAAACTCCAGTTTCTTGAAGATTTTTCTAAGGAATTTTAGTATAAGCTCTTTGCACCTTAAAACTTTTTTTACTTAAGTGAAAGCCTCTTCACTGGGAGGAATGGCAGACTACATTCATATAGACTCACCGCTATTCAACTCTCAAATCGGCAGCAAATGACATTCTGTGAAAAAGCTGCAGGTTTTGTGGCAGCAAGACAGTTGGGAATATGACTGGGAAAGATGGATTTCATAGTGCTGCTAAGAATTATTCACCCGATATTAAGCATTTTTATGTGCTAGGCAACAGCTAGCTGATCCCAAATACAGGATCAGGCAAGGGACAAAGGTTTGTAAGACTATACAAAACTTTCCCCACTTGTTTGTACCTACTAATTGGGAAAATTAAAAGGGGGCATAAAAGGCCCACACAAGCAAACAAGCTCACTTTCTTGAAATGGTACCTAGCATAGTACCGTCACACGTCAACATAGGCATTCCATATACATCTTTGGTTGAAACAGAAAAGAGACACCCACATGCATTTCCAAATATGCCAAAACTGAATTCTCATATAAT